AAAAAAAAAAAAATCAGTGAAGATAAAAACCAAACCCACATGATTCGGGCATGAAAGCTGTCATTTTGACTAATTCTCATTTATAAGTAAGTATTTTCCTACGGAAAAATTTCAGTGAATTGAGAAGAATACTTACATGACGGACTGCTTGGAGTATTTCTGTCAATAAATTCATTGAAATTTAATAGAAATTCAGTGTTGTTTTCTGATTTTTTTACATCATTACAGTATTCTCTGAAAAACAACAAAACATCAGTCTTCTCAGATTTGTTTCCTTTGCTACTAAAGCAGACAAATATGGCTCAGCAATTTTAAAGTCCAAGCAGAACCGTGCAACTATAATAAGGTGGCTGGCACTACTACGTCAATTGACTACCACGGTCAATGTTGAATGTTGACCATATTGAATATTTCAGGCATCTACAGGAAATAAAGTGTTCAAGTGCCTGCCTAAATCTGAATTATAAGAAAACTCCATGTATGAGACAGGGTATAGATTCTCAGAAAAAGCACTCAGAACTAGTGTAGGCCGTGAAATTAAGAGATCATAGAGTCTGTAAACTAAACAAGAAAATGCCCAGTGAATTTAGACTGCTCCTGGGTTAAACTGTACTGGCAAGTACATGGACTGCTGTTTAAAACAGTCACTTCATGTTCAACTAAGGCTGGATTTACGGGATAAGGTCCTATCCTCTGAGAAGTCTTAAAGGCAATTTTAATGGGGTACGCAGCACATAAGCATATAAACACTCTTTGTTTTGACATATGCAAAACAGATAAACAGTAAACTACCGTCCTTTACATAATGTAATAAAATAAAGCAATATCTCATTTGGCAATTCACTGAATACAAGCAAGCACAATAAAAGTCACTGGGCATTTTGAAGTCAAATATTAGATGGTGAGTGGCACTGAACAACTTTAATTAAAATGTAGACGGTATTCAGCAGTAAAGCAGGGAGCTCTCTTTTTAAATGAGATTTTTATATTCAATTAATTTTACGAACAAAAGAAGTCTGTTCAAGTATTTCATATGAATAAGCTATCTTACTACCCTTTACTTACTTTACCATGATCCTGAAAGACTACAGGCAGAATTTGCCTTACTATACCAACATTCACATTTAAACAGAGCTCCGTATCAAACAGGCTTTGTTCATGTAGATCAACCTAACAACTAGGGACTTGCTGGAAACTGCTAATTATTACAATTGATTATCAATAACTTCAGTCCTTCAGAAAAATTAAACAGTTAAGCTGAGAATACATTTGAAGATAGAAGACTGTTTTACACACAAATTAATCTATTCATTGAAATCAATCTATTCATTGAAATCAATCTATACATTGAAATTTAAAAGGATACAGGAATTTATAAGATAAATAAGAAATGCAACAATTCTTAACTGATCTTGATGGTACAGCATTTCCTTTATTTATTATGATTATCTTTTAAAGGAACTTAATTTTTAAGAAGTATTTATCATACCATGTTTCCCTTGCAAACATACATTTGCAAGGGAAACGGGCTACACAATTTCGCATGAAAAACAGGGAACTAATGAACTTACTTGATCAATTTTCAATGACTCAATCATTTTTTATGTACGATGAATCAAAATTTAATTCATCCTTAAGTGATAGAGAGCTTTGAAACACTTTATCTTGAAGTTGGAAAACATCTCGAGGTAAGTATTATGGTACCTATTTTACCAGAGAGAAGCTAAGGTACAAAGTTGTAAAATCTTAAAAGTCACAGCCACAAGAAATGAACAGATGTGTAGAAGATTTCCATTAAAAACATCAATAAATGATGACAGTCAGACTTTACAGCTGTCTTTGATAAATATAAAATCAGAGAATCAGAGCCTGAAGATGCTATTTACACTCTAGCAAGAAGAAAAGATTGATCTTGTAAAACATGGATTTAATAACTGGTCTTTCACTTAATATTTTTTACCAAGATGAAACTTTACTGGTCAAGTCCGTATTTTGTAAATGTCATTAATCTGATCAAATTCCTATTTAATGCTGCAATAATACTTATTACTAGGAAATTAACCAACCTTGGTGCTATAAACGTGTAGCCAGCTTCATCAAAATGATCAAGCTTCAGTGTTTCTGAATCTACAAAGATGAAGAGTAAATACCAAGTAAGTAAACGGGGCTTTTTGCCATCATTTTTCTTCTCAAAATATTTGACTAGTTTTTGCATGCATTCATGAATTTAAAAAGGAATGTTTATTTTGAGACACTTTCCTACTAATACACTGTATACTTCTCAGTATTTCACAGCATAGGAAGAAATTACTTGATTATTATATACAACATACACCTGGCAACAATAATGTATCTAACAACTTACTTAGAGAAGACATTTCATTAACATGACAACATGAAAACATATGAGATGTTTTCATTAGAATTACAATCTGATACAAAGAAATATTTGGGACACCGAGTTGTTAGAACATGAAGGAAAATGCTTCTAGTATTTTCTGCAATAAAGTTTAAAAACTCATCCATATAAGCATCACTTTAAATGCTACTGAAAATAATGACTTCAGTAGCTGGTGTCACTGAACACTAATAGGACCAGACAAAGAAGGATTAGAGATTAGCAACATATTGAAATGTGCGTGAAAACAGAAAAACACATCTTTTTTTCCCTTTCTATTGCTATGGTACCCAATGAGCATGGGAAAAATCCTGAGATGAGGAATACAGAGGAGAATATCCAGTAGGAATAGAAATAGAAGTGAAAAATATCAACTGCAGTAAACAGAAGGAAATTGAGCAACAAGAATATACTTGCCCTTTTTGATTGCCACTATCCATCAGAAAGAGAAAGCAGGGAAACAGAAAAAAACAGGGTAAAGCAAAAGGGGTCACAAACCAATATTTTATTCAAACAGCCCCTTGAATAAAAATATTGTGTATAGATAGATCAAAAGTTCAATTTACATACAGCTGTAGTCTGGAAAAAAGACAAAGATCTTTGCAGACTGAAGAATATGTCCTTCTCAATTATTTCTCAAGTACCTTCTATATACTGTGGCTATTTCACGGGTCTGTTTTACAGCTTATATTGATATAAGTGCAGAACCAGATGATCTAATCCATCAAGAGAGCCATATTCACTCACTAAAACTTTAATTTTAAACTACTTACTATTTGACAAAGTTACAAAATAAATCAATGATTATTAAAAACTTGTCATATTCTACTTCAAATGCAGGAGGTGATGGTAGAGGACAGTGATTTAGCACTAATCAAGTTTTCTTTAGACTAACAGTATCTATGCTTGTCAGAGAGATTCATAGTGCTTTTCTAACTTTTTATTTAACTGCACGTTTGTTCAAGTTTATCGTAACACTTGGATAAAGTTAAAAGGATGTGATGGGTTCTATTTTGTCTACTATCTAGATTATGGTTAAGCTACACCTAATAAACAAAAAGTTTCTGAATACTCAGAAGAATAATTTCCAATTATCTCTCCAGAATCTGTAAATGGCTTGAAATTAGTCTAATCCAAAAATACATTACAAACATCCACTGAAACTATTTGTAAAGTGCAAAATAAAAACCTAGCTGCAAGCCAAACCAAACAGCGCTTTCACGTTAATCTTTTTCTACAGGCAGTGGAGGTAATTTGCTAAATATGACACTGTAACTACTGTAAAAATAACAAAAAAAACACTTTACTACTATAGTCTATTTCATGATATTTAGCTAATAGAATGAGAAAATTAGTATCCAGACCTTTAAAATGACAGCAACAGAGGATACACAAAGCAATGATTCTATAGGCACAGAGCAAGGGGGAAGGGATTGTCAGTCGAACTGGGGTACCTGCACATATTCTATCTTCATAGAATATTTCTTGTACGTTGGATGTTACAATGGGTTAGAATCATTGCTGCAGATTTTGGGTACATCATGATAACATCAGTGAATTCCACAAAATTTATGAATTTTAAGCATTGCTTTTTTAAGTGAATCTGAGACTTGGCAATACTAGACAAAACCAGGGAACCTTCATAGTACTTACATCTGGCTTGAGTTATTGGTTCTTCTATTTTGGCTTTAATATAATAAAAGCTGTATGATGGTAACACCAATGCCAAACTGCAATAGAAATGAGACAAGTAAAGCGTTTATGTTATTTGCAGCAGTTTTCCAGTTTCAGCTTCTATGTGTTTTGAAAGCAATTAACAAGTTTGGAAGTTGGATCATCATGAGATGAGATAGTTATACAGCGACATACCAGCCTCACACTTTGTAATAGACACAAGTAGGTTCATGCCGGTCTTGAAGTTCCCTGTGTTTATTTTCATTCTTATTTATGCATTTAAGCATAAATGCACCTTTTAACAGATAAGCAAGGACTTTCCAAATAATTGCAAATAATAAAATACATGATTTCTTGTATCTTCCTCTAACACATTTAGCATCCCAATGTAACATATGTCAAAATGATCATTGACTGTAAAAAACAGCAGATAGTATTGCACTGATTTGCATGCATCATATAACGACAGATTCTCCTTTTACTAATAAAACAACTATCAGTATTCATTAGGAAATGTCTCTGGCAATACTTGAATTCACATTATGTTCAAGATGCAAAATATTTTCTTGAATCATGCAGTCACCACTAAAAACCTTTGAACACCCTTGTGTAATAACATTTTAAGATTTGCAATGTATTTTCTTTTAGATTATACTTAATTTTGTTCAAAAAATATAGGGCTTCTTTTTGCAACTAAATTCAATACATATGTACAAGAGTTCAGTTCTAAAAAGGTAGGTAAAGGACAGGAGGTATGAGTAATCATTAAAAAAGTAGCATCATCTCCCACATCGCATTTCATGACTGTAGAACTGCAATGGTTTCTAATGGATAGCTGCAGAAATTAACATTAAAAAAGTTGTACAATTGAGCCATAAATGAGATGACCTTTAATGATACATTTGCCATTTAAAGAGAACGTAAGTGAGATTGCTGAATATTTAGTGATAGCCTTCTACCAGTTCTCCTCTAGGGAAATCAGTAGCAGTTTACCTGTCATTAACAGATACTGCTAGCAGAAATTGCTAATTAAAATCTATAATTTTATGTTTAATAGGTTTGCTGCAATGTGACTCCACGGATTTATTGCTGTATCTCATGCCAGGGAGCTCAGTAAGAATTAAGAAGTCATCTAAATCAAATGTATTTCTTTACATTGCTAGATTGCATAGTCTGATAAAAAAACCTTTCTTTTCTTACACAGTATAAAGATAGAGGCAGTTCAACAGAAAAATAGGATGCTGAATAAAAGATAAAGTTCTATATTTGCATTCTCTTGTTAAAACTGATTTATTTGGTTTTACATATGAGCTAACTTTTGCATTCTCCTTGGCTGTACACCTGTGCAGAACAGAACAAAAAATGGGAACCAGCTTGGCTGAGGACTACTGTAATTCACCACAATAAAAATATTGTTTTAGTAAAAATTTGACTCAATATTTGTACCATCTGGTTTTGAACTAGAGCAGTTTAACTTTTCTGGGACTTGGTAAACCTTAACTTGTTTTGGATAATGTCAAGTTTCTACATTCCTTCTAAAGTTACAGAGCTGTGTGCTTAAACGAGTTTGAGATAATATACATGCCAACGTTGCATTCAAGGGGGGACGTGCTTTTACCCATTACTTCATTTGTTTCTGCTGCCATTCACCATCTGATTTTTATATGCAAAGCAGTATCAGTGCTAATTAGCTAAAACTTGTCACAAATAGATAGAGATTTCGGAGATAATCAGTAGCATGGTTCCTGCCCCTAAGATCTGACATGGAGGTTAGCAAAGTTATGATATAAGCAATGACTGTGCCTGAAAAAGATTTGCACAAAACATGTCATGTTTTTTATTTAGACCAAAATATAGCATCTTCCTTTTTAATATGCATATTAAAACAAGAACATGGAGACAATGCAAAGAAAAGATGAAATAAGAGGAAGCATATAAGAGAAGGTGTACAATTAAGAATCAAAGTATGGTGTGATACAAAAAGTAGGAGGAAAAGTAAGATTCTGAACATCAATCATAAAAACTTTTTTTTCCTGCATACTGAAATACCCTAGTGATAAATCTGAACAGTTGGATGAAAGACTGAGGTTCTGGTCCTTAGACAGAGCAACAATTCTGAGCTGTAAAGGAACCCAGCAAATCCTACAGGCCTGGACACAAGATGGTCTGGTCCTGGCTTAGCTAGTGTAGAAAATGTAACGCTAAAATATTAACCAAAATAAACAAAAAGGACATTTAACTACACAAAAGAAGTCAGAGATCGGAAATTAGTTACCTGTAATCAGTGCCATTCACAGCAGTCCATGTATATGTTCTGTTTCCTTTATCAATATATCTCTACAAAGAAATATTGATCAAAAAATATATTATTAAATCTGAAGCTTCAATAAGCATGCCCTTTTCTTGAGAAATACAGTGTAAAATCAAGTACAAATCTGTTTGAATTCTATTTATTATTTAGCAAAAGAATCACCTATATCCTTTTTATTGAACATTAATGAAATGCAAATTTAACTAAAACTAAACAAACATGACCTATCATTTTCGGGTTGAGATAAGAAGAGTTTAATACTTGGGAAAAAAAATAGTAATGGAAAGTAAAACAGCAAGAGAGAGAGAGAGAGAGAAACAAAAAACACAGGGAAAGAAAAAAACCCAAGTGATGCAACTGCTCACGACCCACCAACTGACGCCCAGTCAGTCCTTGAGCAGCGATCCCTGCCCCCCAGTCAACTCCCCCCAGCTTATATACTGAGCATGACATCACATGGTATGGAATGTCCCTTTGGCCAGTTGGGGTCAGCTGTCCTGGCTGTGCCCCCTCCCAGCTTCTTGTGCACCTCCAGCCTTCTCAGTCGGTAGAGCATGGGAAGCTGAAAAGTCCTTGACTAGTGTAAGCACTGCTCAGCAACAACTAAAACATCGGTGTGTTATTAACGTTATTCTCATCCTAAATCCCAAACCCAGCACTGTACCAGCTACTAGGAAGACAATTAACTCTATCCCAGCTGAAACCAGGACACCCTTTTAAATTCATTAGCCAGGCCTATGCAAACCTTTTTCTATGTGATTTAAATTTGATAAAATGTTATCTCCTTTATAGACCATTTTGCAGTTAAACTATGAAAACAAAAAACCTCAATTATAAAAAGACTTTGTAGGTAACTCTTTAACAACAAAAACAGCTAGTGCCTGTCCTTTTGGGTCACAGTAGCACGGGCTAACTGCTTTTAAATTTAAGTCATATCTACAGGCACAGCCAGGTAGTCCTGATTGTATAGGCACCCCATGCTAAACTTACATCTGTTTCTAATCTCATTAGGAGGTTTTTGAATTTATGAAAAATTTAACATGGAAGTAAATGTTTATTTTTAAATAACTTAATACATTAGGATAAGCTTTACCATTCATTTTCTTTTGGTATGAAAAATGATGTGATAGACACAGTCTCACAGTTCCCCATAGATTTAATCATTAATGCACCTGGCTGACATCATTTTACTCAATTTTCCACTTTGAAAACTACAAGTTTATGCCAGCTGCAACACATTATTATTTTACAATCAGACATTTGTAAGTATGCCAGCAATGAAGTCTGTGCAGCTGTTGCACTGCAACATTACAAACATTGGTGAAAGGTACCACAGGTATACGTCTACGTTCTTTCTTTCCCTGCGGTAAAACAAAAGTGTGAAAATGACCGTGGTTATGAAAAAGAGGTGTCTTTTTTGGCATTTATGATTTGAAACCTTCTCATTACCTGGCTGCTGCTTTTCAGCACAGCATGACAGTGTAAATAATTTAATAGCCATTTTGGAAAGAAAAAGAAAAAAAAAGAAAAAAAGGAGACAAAAAAAGAAAAAAGAAAAAAAAGATGCATGCATCAGCATCTGATGTCCTGATATATTTAATATTTAAGGTAAAAAGATGGCTGAAGAGACTCTTATCCAAGCCTATTTATATTTAATAATGTGCCTATACTATTATTTCAGCTCAAGAAAAGCAGACACTTGAACCTAGAACTGGCAGCCCCTCCGAACTAGGCAGAGTGCCATGGGTCGCACACTGTGTACATTGGCAAGAGAAAAGTAGTGCCCAAGGTGGGAAGGAAGGAAGAGAAGAACTGGGCTCACAGTAAACCCTGTTGCCACCAGCACTACGAACATGCTTGAAAGCAAACTGGCTGAAATCTTCCTTCAAAGATAATCCAGGAGATGACAAGTCCTCATACGTCTGCTCCCATTTACCTTTGCCTACTTCATTACTGAGCAGTCTGAGACCATCTTACCCCCCAGCTGGTCACTGCCAAAGAACCTACAGAAGTTATTGCAGTTTCTGTGACCCTTCAGTTTTCACTACTGCCCACCCCGGCTGCCCGAATGTGGCAATGCTTTTGTTCCTATGGCATCTTCTCTGTTAGCTGGAAAGCCCCTGAGGCCTTGGGAGACTCCAGCACACCCCACCCACGCTTGCTACAAGTCCAGTCTCTATGCTGTAGTATGAGGTCATCTCCCAAGACACTGCTGGGGCCAGCTGCAATACAAAAGGAAAGCAATGCAAACTTAAACCAAAAAGCAAAACAAAAAGGACATGAATTTTAAGCCTCAAGACTGCAACTGTCAGTTCAGAGCAACTGACCACATCAGCCCTTTTTATAAGAAAATATATGAAGCTATCAAGTCCTAAGTGATGCATGGCTCATACGTGGCCCGTGGTCTGAAGCAGCTTTATTCTGGCTCTAGCAGCCTAGAGCTGGGAGGGTGCAATGGCTTGAAGCAGTCACCATTGCCAGCCATCTCTGGCTGCTCCCTTCTTCTCTCAGAGAGATCCAAGTAGAGGAAGAAATCTTGCGCCATGATGCAAGGGAAGGTGAGGGAAATTAATTTAATTGGGCACTTGAAGCATCTGGGATCAAAAGGCTTGGGATATTCTATTCAAATACAGATTGTGGTCTGGGCTGTGCATAACTGACACATCGTCATGAACTCAGGGACATCATGTTCTCTCCCCGCCACCCACCTCGATGCTGTAGCTGACTCCAGCATTTGCAAGTATAAATGCTTCCCCTCCCTCCCTCTTTGGGAAAACAGTTGCAGGACCAATTGTTTCAGGTCTTTTATTACCACACAGCCTGAGAAATGCATGCACAACCTGAGATCTCTTCAACAGCTTTGCCATGAATGCAATTTCTTGTATAACCCCAATGGTGTTATTGCATTTTTGTAACCTTCTAATCCTCCCTTTTCTAACCACCTACACAGAGCCCTTTTCACCCATAGGCTTGGAAAGGCATTCCTTAAACAAAACGACAGCACAAGTCTGAAAATGTCCCCGTGAGTCCCTCCCTTCAGGAGCAGCTTATCCCCAATGCAGATGCCAGCAGGACTTTGGATTCTCCAACTGTGGGTCAGGAATGACCCAGTCTTCCTTCACAACAGGGGGACAGGCTGGTGGCTTCCTAGACAGGATGGGCTCCTGACACAGGTAAGGTAGCAGAATTGAGATCAGATGGGGCTTACCCTCCCTGCCCCAGGAAGGCCCTATTCATTCACCATCCTGCAACAGTGGAGCCATTCAGGAAAAGGCACATTTTTTTCACACAGCGGGATTTCCCCATAGATTGTAAAGCAGCATTGTAAAGCCTTACTCAGGAGGGCTGGGATGGGGACTCTATTGTGAGAAAGCACAGAAGAGAGTCCTGGCAGAAGGCAAGGGGACTGCTGGTACTGGTCTCTGCTTTAGAAGAACATGGGAAGAGGTGAAAGGCAGCATGAAGTCATAAACAGAGAAGGAGTGTGGGCACATTTAATGAGATCATGGGACTCCACAGCTTCAAGGACCATAACTTATGGGCACACTTTGCACCTGGACAATGTAAGTGTATAAGGCTTGAGTTAGGTTGACTTCCCTCATAGAGAATAAAGTAGGAAAGTATGAGTCTGCTGCCTACATGATTACATGATCATCACTATCATCATCTTTCAGCTAAGATCATCTACAGTTACATTTGTCTGCCCCCACTGAAGCTGAGGTTCTGTACTCAAGAAGAGAGTCTACAAGGTTCTGCACTTTCTGAATAGGGTATCAGAAGGAAGACAGCGCCCAACACTAAGTCAAATTCCCTAGGCTCTGCAATATAATAAAATACCATGATAACCTTTCTGCCACAAAGTCACAATCTTGTTAGCAGGGAGTTGAATGAATATACAGATTTTAATCTGTCTCCTCACAGGTGGACACACATGCAAGTAAAGCCACTGATCTCCTGAATGACACCCATAGCTCAGGAATAAAAAATGCCTCTGATGGATTTGCACAGTTGTGAAGATCTTGAGCATGACTTCCTGTCCTTACTTGCACCCCTTTTAAATTACACTATCAGAAGCAGCATGCTTAGTCAAATCCAGTGCAGATACTAAGAGGCTGAGGAACGGTCATGGGATGTCCAGCTCTAGAGTCCTCAGTACAGGAAAGACATGGACCTGTTGGAGCGGGTCCAGAGGAGGGCCATGAAGATCATCAGAGGAATGGAACACCTCTCCTATGAAGAAAGGCTGAGAGAGCTGGGGTTGTTCAGCCTGGAGAAGAGAAGGCTCTGGGGAGACCTTATTGCAGCCTTTCAGTATTTAGAGGGGGCCTATAAGAAAGATGGGAACAGACTTTTTAGCAGGGCCTGTTGCAACAGGTCAAGGGGGA